CGAAGACCTTTGACATCGACCGGCACAGGCCAGTCGGTGATCGCCTTGATCTTTTCGGGATCAGGACGTACACCGTTCTTACCAACGATGCACCCAAGAAGTGGTATTTCGCTTGCTGCAAATATACACTTCTTGAGGTTAGCATACAATTGATGCTTTCGCATGATTGTAAGAACTTGTCGGACGTGGTACCTGTGAACCTCAACGTCCGACTTTCCATCCATAGCTCGACTATGGATGAATACGTCATCGAAATAACTCGGCGCGAACTCTCGTACTGGTCTCAACAGATGTGATACACATCTGTTGAACGTGGCAGGGGCATTACTGAGCCCTTGTGGCATTACTAGCCATTCCCAGAGCATGCCGCTAGGCGTGCTAACTGCGGTATAGGGTATATCCCGTTCCCGCATTAGGATTTGATAGAAGCCATCCATCAAATCCATGGACGAAAAGATGGTACTCTTTGACATACCATCAATGATTACGTCCTTCCTCGGTATCGGCGTCTGAGCCGGTACCGTTGCAGCGTTCAATTTGTTAAACGCGTGCACTATCCGCCACCCTCCTGTTGCTTTTCGCACACAGAAGGTCGGAGAGCTATGTGGGGAAGTTGATTCCCTCACATGGCCCGCTGCTAAACGATCGGCAAAGAACTTGTCGATCGCAAGTACTTGTTCACGAGGCAGTGGCCACTGCTTCATGACACAGTACTTCGAGCCTGGTTTAAGCTCGACTTCGTGTCGAATACCTTTATCCTTCGGTAATTCGCACGGAACAGTTTCAGGGAATACATCCTTGAATTCAACCAAATCTTCATAGAGAGGATTTTCCTTGAGCGATTCCCATGATTGGGACTCATATCGCTCAATTCGTGTCTTTTCATCTAGGACACTCTCGTCCATAGATGAACTACTGAGAACTCTCTCGTTCTCAGTAAACACTGTTGCTGACCTTATGTCGGTTACATACTCGTCGTCAGCGACGAGTATGCAGATCTGCTTGACTTTGCCACTACGCAGATCACGCAAGAACCTTTTATGTTCGAGCGTTGGCAACTGAGTGATCTCCGAAGTTAACTTCGGAGGCGCAATCAGATCAAGTGTATAAGCGCCTACACATGATCCGTTATTGACTATGACATTCAATGTCTCTGTCATTTCCTGGGGACTTATTCCCTCAGGCTTCGAAGGACTTATTCCTTCGTCTTCCCGGGGACTTATTCCCGCGGGTTTCGGGGAACTTATTTCCGCCGTATTTGTAATCTTGGGACTTATTCCCTTTACTTCCTCTAGCTGGGGTTGCGCAACCACAGCGAGATCCTCTACGAAAGACTCTCCAGTCGATCTAGGATTATCGTTTCGCTTAACCTGAGCGATCGATTGTTTCTCTTCTAGATGTTCCCCTCTAGGGATACATCTTTGTCCCAGTCCACCCGACTTATTCGAGTGGTGGACCTTCGGCGCAGCCTGTGTTTCCCTCACAGCCGCCGGAACTTGGCTCCGAAGTGTAACCGTTTGGTACACTAAGGTTTTGTGCAGTCGTACTAACGACCGTACCACAAGTGAGGCCATCGCACTCACTCGTAGTACATCCACACGCTTGTGGACGCTCCAAAACGTTCATCAGATGGCCATCTGATGAACAAGCGGCAGGCATCGTTACTGTCCGATGTTGCCAGTTTACCCGTGGTTCGTACCTTCTGAGCCACGGTATTCCAAGGATGACATCAAATTTGTCATCCAAATCCAATACGATAAAGTCATCGTCGTATTGGGTATCTTCTAGCGTATAGTGAATCTTCACTATACGCTTCATGACGGTTACGGATGCGCCTGTCGCAAGACGTACCGTCATCCTCGTAGGAGGTGTGTCACATTCACTGAATTTAAAGTGACCATCTTCTAGCGATTGGCGTCGCACAAAATTGTTGGACGCCCCACAATCGACTAGAGCTCGAAGGGACAACTTATTCGTCACTTCGAGTTTCAAGGTAATGAGTGAGATCTCATTACCTAGAGCAGCAACGCACAATGTCTGTGTGTTGGGAGCAACCTTCATCAAGAGGCCTACAAATTCTCTTGACGTTGCTGGATCAGTAGGGTGCTCCGCACCTACTGATCCTGTCCGTTTTTTGACGGTCCATCCCGTTGTTGCGTCTTTGCACCAACTGCGGACCCTCGTCCCTGCCCCTTTCTCATGGGTGGACGGTCACTACGCCCAGTGTCGCGAGACACTGGACGAGGGGCACTACACTCGTAAGCGTAGTGTCCTGTCTTTTGACATCTGTTGCATCTCTGCAACTTCTTGTAGCCTGTAGAGCGAGCCTTCTCGCTCTCTACATAACAGAGTTCCATCGGCTCTGGACCTCCGTTGTCATATCGTCTCGGTTGACGATATGATGTCGAGCTGGCGCGAGCCTGTCTCAGACTGAAGTCTTCCTGCTCCGCAATTGAAATGGCTTGTTCTAGTGAATCTAGTTCAAGCCGGAACAGGTGAGTCTTGACGGGACCATCCGCAAGACCCTGCATGAACACCGAAACCAACGTGTGTTCATCCACCGGATTGGAACTTATACAACTCGTGAGATGTCGTATATGTTGAGCGTAAGCGTGCACATCACGCTTACCCTGCTTGAGCTTCAAGAGTTCGGTTCGAGCTCTGAACTCAGCTCTAGGCGGTTCAAACGTTTGTCTGAGCCGCGACTTGAAGACTTCCAACGACCCAAACGCGTATGGGTCGTGCAGCTTGAGCCCCAGTGCCCAAGTCTTGGCACGTCCTGCCAGATTTGACTGGGCAAATGCAACTTGCATATCCCCGTCGTCGATGCGACGCGCCCTTATGGCGTCATCCAATTCGACGAACCATCTCAAGAGGGAGTCTTCTTCGACCCCCCTATACTTTGAGATGTCAATCTTCAAAGTCTCGGGCCGACGCGAGTGCATCGACCCGCCAGCAGCAGCCTGCTGCTGTCTCAACAGTTCAAACTGTTGAGCACCTTGTTCTCTCAACAACTCTGCTTGTTGAGAACCTTGTTGGTGAAGCAAGGCTACTTTCTCGCGTTCTGCGTCAAGTTCATTTTGAATGAACTTGGCGATAGTAGCATGTTGGGCATCTCTATTGAGAGCCTCTAGCATGACGCTAACAGCATGGATGCCCATGGTCGAACCCATTCGTTCAACCGCATCCCATTCGACATCGCTCAAATGGGAGTAGCCGTCACGCGTAGCGTGAAAGCTTTGGTCATCTTCATCATCCAACATATTCATGTTGGATGTGAACGCGGTCCTTGGACGGACTACGAAGTGCTACCAGGTGTAACGGGGCACCCTGAAGCTTGTACTGGTGACAGTACAAGCTACTTATTCTGATAACAGAATAAGGCGGTGCCTCGTAACTTCACGTACACTCGTACGTGCAGAGGAAGACGGTAAGAAGAAGCGAGTACTTGGTTAGAGTAAAAAGTAGAACTGTATTTAGTAATAGTTAATGTCTGCAATAAATCACTATTTATCTTCATCTAACTATGTCTAAATACAAATGTGTAAATCAGTTATCTGCTCACCACTCATTGCGTGCGTCTGTCGTGGCGCGTCTTCGTTGGTTGATATAATGGCCTATATCAACCAATTAGGAACTACTTGGAAGTGCTACCGAATATTGTCCTTATGACAATATTCTGAGAATATAACTCTTATAGTTATATTCTATTAACAATTTCTTATAAATTGTTATGTAACGATTCACCCCGTTACATGATGCGTCTTATTTCAACCAATCTTTGAGCAGAGCATGATATTATCAAAAGGGGATAATATTCCTTCAATAGCATATTTCCCGGATAATGTCGGTAGAAAATTGTCATGCTAGACAGTCTTCCTTTTATACCGTTTGGTGTCAATTTCATGTAACGGGCTACCCCGTTACACTGGACAGCAAGTAGACGAGCCGCTGGCCCAGGATCGTCTGCATGAGCACGGAGAAGGAGATGTTGAGCCAGTAGAACAGCCGTGCTGGAGGACCAGATGCCGAGGAGAGGGAAAAAGACAATGGTGAAGAGGAGACTGCTGTCAAAGACGTAGAATATCTCGACGAGCGAGATGCCATGAAAGTATTAAAGAGTTTTGTACGTGTGCGCGTCGCAATCGCGGAAGTGGACGGCTCGTTCCAGCAGGGTGAAGGGCAGACGAGCAATGTACGTCACGTATCCTTGATACATTGTTGTCATGAAAAAGATACCCACGGCTGAGTCCAGCCCTTGGTACGTGTGTAGTCGGCGTTGACAATTGCGAGGCCGAATGTGATGGCCAGGATCAGCGCGAGCTGAAAAACGAGTCAAGTTGTACAATATTGTCCGCCAGTACATTGACTGGAATCGCTGCATGATCATTCAGAGTTGCATCCAGAAGGTAGCAGCTCGCTTGTGCTCAAACGCCAGCTTCGGTAGACTATCGGGTGCCGGTGCCGTCACACCAGATTTATCTGGACGAGTCAGCAACACTTTGTGTGCCAGAGATAGAATTGGAATTGGGTATTTTCCAGTTGGAGATGTTCAACTCGTCCCTAAGGCTCAGCAGTAAATCCAGTTAATGGAAGCTCTGTAATCTCCGCACCTCTGACCTTCTATATCTAGCATAATACAGATAAAACCTAGCTGTTAAGCTAACTAGCTGTTCGTACAAACGTATGACGGCGTTTGCAGTACGGAATAGCAACATTCAAAGTACGGAATAGCCTCGCCCCAAATACGCGGAAAACATAGCCGTGGTTTAGTATCCATGCAGCACGTGTCGCTCTTTTTTTGTCGAGTTCACTTCACTTCAGTAAGGGCAGTCCGGCTGGAGGCAGAGAAACTGACCTGTTTACGTACATTCGTTTCTCGTCTGCGACAAGATACGGCACTGTCGTGCGGATACACTGGGGGCGAATGATAGCGGGTCACAAGCCCTGTCGCTCTCCTTCCCGTAGCTCATTGTGCAATTTACGATTGGTCGGCAACCATGCGGCTCAACTTCGCTCTTCCGCTGCTTGCTGCCTCATTTTTTGCGGCATTGGATGCTCTTCCCCCACGTGGTAATCCTGTATTAACCAGTTTGGGCAACGCTGGGGATCAAGGTCCACGTCCGGAACTGTCACGCATCGATGGCGAAGAGAGAGTTGGTGGTGAATATGTCGAGGGTGCTATGAAGCTTGTCGAGGGTGCTCAGAATTGGATTTCGTCGGTGTTGTCGAAGCTTCTTGTCGAGGGTGCTCAGAATCGGATTTCGTCGGTGTTGTCGAAGCTTCTGAACAAAAAAGCTCGGACTTGGAGTATGCTGGATCCAGCAACAGTGGACAATCTGGTCGCCCACAAAGATATCATGCAGAGCTACAACGAGCTGGCTCGCGAAGATATTTCGGAGTTGAAGATGGTGTCGGAACTGACGGATCGCCACACTCATCAAGGAGTGGCCTCCTGGATCAGCGCGCTGAAGGGCCTCAACAGCGAAGGGGCGAAGAGCATCGCAGCCAGATTGCAGGCTGGCCAGACACAACAACTAGCTGAGAACGCCTTTATCAGACTTCGCCTTAGCGAGGGGGTCTTAAACACGAAGAAGGGAACCAGTTCGTATTCAAAATACAAGTGGCGATTCGACGACCCAAAGTTCGCGTACTGGAAAGCATACGTGGAGACGATTAACCAACGTGACCCGGCGATGACGATTATAGAGACTTTGACTCATTACTTGGATGATGAACACCTCGCTCATGCTCTCATACTAGCAAGCATGAATCCTGAACTGGAAGTGATGATTGCAGAGTTGCAAACGGCGCTACTAAGATTCTGGGTGAGAGGAAATGTTAACCCGGACAAAGTCACGGCATGGCTAAGTATAGGTGGTGAAAGGTTTGACAGTCAGAGGAAGGAACTGAAGGATCGGTACACGGCTGTTTTCTCTTGGAGAGGGCTCGATGTAGCAACACAGGACACTCTTTTTCAGCACGAAAAAGTCATGCGGAGCTACATGATGCTGGATGACGAAAATCTTGAGGGCGAACACATGCTGGCGGAACTAATAAGTCGTCACAGTGATGAGGAAGTAGCTAAGGCGTTGATCGCGGTGACGGGCGTGAAGGACGAGCGCTATAAGAACGCCGCAAAAGAACTGCTGGAGCTACAGTATGCGGGGTGGGACCGCGACAGGCACGAACATCCGTCTGACTACGTGTTCAAGCTCCTCGGGCTTAATAATCTGAGTTCTGGACCGAACCATGTTCGAACGGCGATAGGTGAAGCAGAGTCACTGTTCTACAACCCAAACTTCAAAGTCTGGGAAGAATATCTGAACCGTATCACCGGAGGTGACTCGGAGGAGGTGATTGCCGAGATGAAAAAGACCATGCTACGTGTGCATGGTAAAGGCGTCTTGGATTGGCTACTCGATGCCGCAATAGAGGGGGGTGGTAGTATGGGGGAGTTTGCCGCCAAGCTGCGAGCGGCTCAGGTGGAGCAGTGAGTACGACATGAGTACCTTTTGTAGAACATGTAGGTATTGGTGGCCGTCGAAGGAGCAGCGAACGACAACGAGTGGAGAGAGCTGTTATTTGGGTACGTAGAAATTGTTCGATACGCATGGACCCGTGAATTTGCAGCTCATGTATGGGTAGGAAGAACAAGCGCGACGGCATCTGCTTTCTCTTCAAATAGCGCCTCAATCGACAGTAGCAATCAGAATACCGTCCTTACTGACTAACACACGGTTGGACCTTACAGCAGCTAAGTTGAAGCGGTTGTCAGGATTCAAAAGACGCTCAACACAACTCTCTGGTATTTAGAAGTAAGATTGACCACGGCGTCATTGCAAACAGCTATCTGACCGCAGCTGAGCCGTACTCGCGATGGATAATCGCGGTGTGATGTCATCTTGCAGACCACGGTCATCGCCAATGCTTTAGTCCACGCTGATGTGTCTGGATCGAGGACATGGTCCCCGTCGCGTACGATTACTCTTGCCTTTGAGAGATCTTGTGCAATAAGATCGCAAGGATGCAGCTGCGTCAGCAATCATCAACGGCATATTTGCTACACTTTCCAAGTCCATCTTTCGTCATCTGTAGATCCGCCGGTCGTATTTTGAAGTCTCGAAGTCCCAGAACACAGCCTCTCGAGTTTCCTCGGAAGATCGCCAGGTTTCTGCCCTGCTGTGCGAAGCTTGAGCACGTGCTTTCACGCACCGAATCAATCCAGAACGCCATACGGAATTTCTACTGATTCCCATTTGCGCGATTTGCGCAAACCTTTCGTTTTCAGAGCCATGAAAAGGCAGACTGCCACGCACTCTGATGACGAGCTCCTTGCGTCACTTGTTCCTTACAATGCAGTACAGCGCCTGGAACACGAAATCGCGACAGTTGTGGTACATGAGATCTAAACCCTGGACGCCGGCGTAGTGACGAAGCTGGCACGGGTGCTACATAAAATGTTGTCCAACTCAAAGACCTGCTCGTCTTGCAGTTTCTTGAATTGTACACCCGAAATTCGAAACAAGTTGCACGAAGATGATCGTACGTAGTTGGACCATCCAGTGATGTCAAACACTAATCGACATAAGAATGCCAGGTCATCAAGCCGCTTTTCTTCCTCGTCAGGGCAAAGTGCTGTAGAGTCGGGACGCCTTACGCTATTGGCTCTGCCTTCTCTGCCGTCTCTCTCCCTCTCTCGCTCTTGACATCAGTTCTTTCATAGGACATGACATCCACGCCGAACATCAAGTCCGTCACGCTCAACCCTTCATCTAGCCTCACCTTGAACTGCATCTTCTAAGTAAGTACCTGTCCCATTGACTCAACCACACCATTGTGTCCTTCGTGATCCACTGTACTATGACATGAGCAACACACGCAGCGGTTTCGCTAGCATCTCGGCCCTGGCAACGTCGTCCCCACTCTGTCTGTCACACACGTAAGACATCAGGTGCCAGCAGAGATGCCGACAATTAGCCAAATATACCGTCAAAGTGTAGAAAGTGGCTTCTGCAGTCGGCTCCTGCTTGTACTTGTTCCCAATTAGACTCTATGCACACCCTCTTGTCTGGAATACCCTATTTTTTTTACCGAACGTGTAAAAATATGGAAGTGCTGATGTATTGTGGTACTAAAGCTACTTGCTGACGGCGGTTGATTTTTTACAGAGACGAATGAGAGATGGGAGACAGAAAATGATCTCGCCCGGCAACGCCGTGAACAACAAAGTACGGTCGACGACATACAATTGATGGTTGAAAAAGAGATGTCGATCGAGAAAATTCCTTCTGCTACCTATAGAGAAAGGAGATCATACATTTTTCCTACATTTGTTGATCAAGCAAGTACTTCGGTTGAGAACCACTTTACGCGTTACTGTTTGCGAAAGGTGCGAGATTTTCGCTGCCCCTAAGTATCGTGCCTTTACTTATTAGCCCGTTGTTCGCCTCTGATCACTTTTGAGTTAATCACGCGCGGGTATTGGTGCGTGTGTGATCCGTTCTCTACGTGATCGGAATTAGTGACCGAATTAATGAGTGACTTCTGTAATGCATATCTACCAATGACAAGGGGACAGACCACATCGTACTTTGTGCGACGTGCAAGGTACACATAGCCCTTATGACAGAAACACACGGTCAGACCGACAGGCAGGCAGAGAGCAGGTTTTAAAAGCTCGGTATGCACCTTGGGCACAATCACCAGAGGCTTCACACTCGGGCTCGCAATAAAAAGAAGGGAGAGGTTATTTGGCCATCATTCTTTCGTTAGTCAGCCACCACCCTCCAATGATTGATATAATTTCGTATTTATTTTGAGAAACAATGCATTCAATTGGTCAAGCAAACATTCAACGTCGTAAAAGCCATTGAACAGATTTTTGCAATGTGTAAAGATGGGTGCTGTTAAACTCGAAGGAGGTCTTGCGTTTGATTTACAAAGGTAGCAACACTACGTTTATAGAGTAATGTTGTTCATTCTGTGGCTAATAGACGAGTAAAAAGGGATATGACCAGGTTCTTCTAGACGAGTAAAGCCTGATGCTCTCGTCTTTCCTTCCGCGTGGGCACAAACTACTAATATAAATTGACCGAACATATTGATTTGTGGGTCGATACCTACGAAGTTAGACAAGTGGTCCTTACACGAGATCAAGAAATTTGTGCTGGGATGTGCTAGTTCATGACAAGGACTCGGCATCGCAAGCCGAAGAATAAAGTAGAAATGTCATCGATTCATCTGTCAAACTTATGAGTCGTAATTGACGCGAAACGAGACGCAATTGCCGAACTTCACCTGGCCCGGAGCAGACACCTAGTGCTACGCCTAGCAGAAGCACGTCAGTGAGGTCGTTTTGGTACCGCTAGATGGGGTTTGACTAGAAGCAGGGTGAAATTTTCTTTTTACGGCATCATATTTGGATTGCCAATCCTTTTGTCCATTGGCTAATACGACATAGCTTTGTTGTGGTGCATGGGTTTCAATGCTGCCTTTACTTCCTCCAACAATCGTACGCAATCTGGGCGGTGGCCCAACACTTTCCACAGTAGTCAGCAATGAATGAACAAACCTGATATTAATTTTAGATGACAGCACACAAAAAGCGGACATAAGTGTGATAATAAAAAGAGTTGAGCGTGAGAACCCCCAGCCTAACATTTATCCAATAGAATGCGACGTTTATCGAAATTAATATAAACTTATAAAAATTATTGGTGGGTGGTGGCTGATTAACAAAAGGGTATTGGCTGAGTTACGTTTCCCTAAAAAAGAATATCGGAAAATCGCGACAGATAACTGCGTATGAGCTTGGAAGCGCATGAGTAATAGCACGATGGGATGGAACACGATCCGGTCACCAGTATACAAAACCAAAAGAGCCACACGGTCGATGAAGGCCAGTGATGCAACAGAATAAAAAATTGCTTTGTCAACAGGTTCGAGCTGTTTCCCGGTTCAGGTTGGATGCAATGCAATCTACAAACGACGATAATGTAGTTCATACATACGCTAGAGAGAGTAGCATTTACGTGCACCGAAACGAACCAGCAGCTCCAATACTTTTGCACATCATTCGCGGTCCATATCGACGCATCGTCAATACGATAATAGACAACCTCTCAACGCCCTCACATGCCACATGCAAGGCCCACGAGCGCCCGCTAAATAATTTGCATCTCTTTGTAAATACCAGACGCAGTTCATTCCTCTTTCGCCGCTCGAGAAACGGGTTCGCCTCACAAAGTCTAGGCAGTACTTTCCAAAACGATAGAACAATGCTTGGCCTGGATATTCGTAGCAGACGTCCCTTGCAGCTGTGGTGTCACGCCGTCCTTGCAACTTACACTCCATTCTATCCAATCTAGGGTTCGGAGCTACTTTCGGCAGCTGTAGTCGTCAATTTCATCAGGTCGTAACGACGAACGAATCCAACGGGTCGTCCAGATGCATTGAGATATCGAAAGCTGTGTGTTCGTTCTCGGTACCTCTTCAAATTCGTTGAAGTCGACACGTTACATACGCGCACGAGGGACACTGCCTCTTTGGCCGTGCAGTCGAAAGCCATATGCGCTCGTCTCGTACTGAGAACAAACAACATGACCTAAGTATCACGAAGTTCATGTTGTCGCCTGCGAGCGTTGAGCACTTGTAGTCCGCCTCGACATTTCGCTGTGCAAATGCCTTTAATCTTGGAAAAGCGATAGACGACTGCACTTCCTGACAACTCGTCCATGCCATCGTTCGTTCTTTCCCGTCGGCTTTCGGATCGACCAGAAGCTTGGATGGCAACTGGTCTGTGCACTGCAAGCATCTCGCTTGCTCAACTTTGAGCGCCCGGATCGACGTGGTCTTGTTGCCACACTTTACTGCATACAGGACGCTGGTCCAAGTAGCGTCGAGCAGCCAAACGACTTGCCAAATCGCGTCAGCGTGTCCTGTCTATTAGGAGCTCGACGACTCGGAAGTCTCGCTCCATGTCAGCCCCAAATTCTAGAGGAAGAACACGTCCGCCTGTCTTGGACCATCTGACCCGAAGACACGCGCGACATGCTGTTTTCTGCTACGCTTTGCGTGTTTACTCCGCAACTTTTTTTTGTCTCACAATTGACACGGTGCTGTACAAGGCGCAAGAAAGCTACTGATGTTGAAGAGCTTGTGCTCGCACCTTGTCAATCGATTTTGTAGCTTGGCTTGCATCCATGCGACGACGACTGTCGAACTTGAACGTCCAAGTTTGTCTTTCAATAGGAATTCGTGGTCGAGTTTTGAGTCGAGTAGCGACTCGAGCAGTGGGCATCGACCCCATCTCGAGATACTCAGCTCGAGTTAGACCGACGTCGTCTTGTCCACTGGCCATGAGCACGTGCATGTCCATACAGACGTGCATACGTCCAGCTTGAAACATGCGAGAGCACGGTCTCTGCTATTCCCTGCATCCAGCTTGGAAAAAAGAGGCATGTCCAGTCTCTGTGAACACGTACACACGGTCTGAAGCTTCTGCGTGACTGCAGGTAATTGACGACACGGGGGACAACAACACCCCGAGCTCGATCAAACTGAATGCCCGCAGCTTGTCCATTGTCTCCACGAGATAGAAACGAGAAGTGCAAAAGACGGCACACACCCACAGAAAGAGACACTGGCTCTACTCATGCTCGTTCCGATAGCCGACCGAGAGTGGACCGTCACCTCGTCACTTTTGCATTGAGATCGTCTGACGGAATCCCGGCATTCAAAACCGGGAACGACACGATATGTGGGCATCGAGTAGTATGATCAGTGAGAGCGGGTGCAGTGAAAGCTCTCGAGGCGTTCGCTTGGAACGCGACGCTGACAAACGACGTCTCACGATCACGCAAGGAGTGGACGACGCGGACTCGTGCGTGCACCTATCGGACCAGGAGATCGTCACGGACTTGTTGGCGACTTTGCCAAAGCTCAAAGCTGCAGTCGAGGACCACGAGAACAAGGCGCCGAATTGGCTCCGCAAGTCCAAAAGCGGCGATGCAGTCGAAGTGTTTGAGCTCTTGCCGACGCACGACGGGAAAGGAGATGACATGGACATTGTCCACTCTGTCGTCGCGACGATCGAGATTGAGTGCCATTTGAATGAGGTCCTGAACGTGCTCACGAGTCATCGCACGAACCACGACTTGGAAGCGTCAATGCGAGCCATCATTCCCAAGAAGAAAGTCCGACAGGGTCAAGTGTTGTTGCAGCCTCATTCGACGACACTGGACGGAGCTCCTGTTCGTCAACCTCGTTGTAAGCAAAAGACCTTCCAGGGCGGAAGTTCCATCAGGTTTGACAACACGAGCATTCCTGAGAATGAGGTCGACGACGCTGAGACCGAGCGCAAAGTGCTCGTAAGCGTCAGCATGACACGGTTCAAGTCGAAACACCGGATTGACCTGCAAGGTCGACTTCGGAATCGCCATCAACGGCTGCAGAAACTCTGCCTTGCGACGCTTACGCATCAGTTTGCAGATAACCAGCGTGCGGTGCACGTGATCAAGACTCTGCCTCGATTGGTGCACGACCAGCTTGCCCCTGTTGAAGAGAAGCACCAACGCCGATCGGTACTTGGCAGTGGGTTGCGAGGACTCGATCATATCTCGGTGGGCTTTGACATCCAGACGAGAACCGTTCACTGTGTCGGGTCCCGAGGTGCTGTACAGTCAACTCGGATCATTGCGCACGGATACGCTGCCATCACTCCTCCGGAACAATTCGGGCACTACCAGCAAAAGACCATGACGCAGTACAGTCCGTCCGAGCTCGCAAACTATCGCTCGTCTCGGATCAACGCCGAAGCGAAGCACGTGATTGAGCTTCTGACCACTTCGTTGCAGCAATTCGAGCGTGTGATCCGACGTCGACGGTTTGGGTTGCAGGCGTTCATCAAGATTCGACCGGGGGATCGGGACGGTGGCGATCGCCAAGGGTTCGAGTCTTGTGAGGTGTGCAAGAAGCGCTTTTCCTTGCTCCGACGTGAACTCTATTGTCAGTTGTGCGGTCACGTGTGCTGTGGCGATTGCTCCAAGCTGTACGAGGTCGAAGCAAGTGTGGGGGACGTCACGAAGAAGCGCATGTGTGTCCGATGCATTGCCAACGTTGACTCGTGCATCTTTGAAGACGAGGAGTTCACGACGGCATTAGGTCCAGCTGTCGTCGATGACGACGGGGACACGTATGACAACGAGAGCGACCACGGGAGTGACTGTGGTCGAAATCGTCGCTATGAGAACGACACGAACGCAAGTATCGGGTCGACCGTCGCTTGCTCGGAATTTGAAAGCGGCGGCAGTCCAGATGATCTGCTGGCTGACCTGTATTCCGAAAGCGCGTTGTTAGAGCACTCGATGGCGTTGCAGGCACTTGATCGGGTGGTGAACCCGCAAGCACATGCATTGAGGAAGCAGAAGTCACTCGAGCGGTCTCGGATGACGCAGTCGCAACTGAGTCAATCCCAAGTGCAGCTGAGCCAGTCGCAGTCGAATGTCAAGCAGTCCCAGGCATCTCACCTCACCCGAAGTCAGCTGAATATGACCCGCTTCAAAGAGTCCCAGCTGACGCAGTCGCAACTGAGTCAATCGCTCTCGAGCATGCAGCTCCAGCAGTCTCGACTGACTCCGAGTCAGCTGAATCACCCCCGAGCGCGAGCCCGCGATCAGCCGTCGAATAGTCAATTCAGCCACAGTCAACTGAGCAGTCAGTCCCGTTTCCAGCAGTCGCATCTCGACGACTCGATCGTCGCGCAACTGCGAGCGAACGTGGAAGACCACCTCAAACGCACATTGCGAGCCAACTTGCAAGAGACGCGGCTGAAATGCTCCGGTGCGGACGAGTCGCAGTTCTCAATTGCACCGACCGAGCGGGACTACCAACTCGAGTTTGACGGTAGTCAGACCATGTCTCCTTCCCACCCGTTACCGCCTAGGCCTTTGCCAGCTCAAGAGCGACGGAGACTGCACTATGTGATTGGCTCGGGTGCCTTGAGCCCTGCGTACGATCGCAGTGCACTCAATATGCTGGCTCAAGTGGCAGCGACACATTTGAATTGCCCTATTGGCTATGTAACTATGATCGACCAGTCGACGCAATACGTCGTGGGGCTCTACCCTCGAGGTGCTATTGGCACGTCCATCCCTCGAGAAGAATCCATGTGCTCGTATACGGTTTACCACGAACGGCCGTTGGTGGTCAAAAATGCTCTCAACGATATCCGATTCAGTCACATGGGCTTTGTGAGTCAAACTGGGCTACGATTCTACGCTGGGTTCCCGATTCGAGCACCCGATAGTGCCGTAGTTGCCACGATATGTGCCGCGGACTATAAGCCGCACAAGTACATCTCGGCCAAGCAGTACGCGGAAATGGAAGCATTGGCAGATCTAGCGGGGACGCTGATCATCACGCCTGATATTGAGATCAAGACGGCTAAGCAAAAGCCCCAAGCGTTTCCAAGGCATGTACGGAACCGTTGAGGTAGATTGCGAGCGGGCCTTACCCCTTGCTAGAGACCAGAAAATGAAATAGAGACGCATGTGTACTATGTCGAGATTCGAGACGTCTTCTGTGTTTGGTGTACGAGCGATCCCTTCTTGAAGCACCGTTTGGAAAAGTCGCGTCTTACAAGCTGGTGCGTGGATAACGAGTAATGCAATTATTCAGTTCGACACAGGTCGTCGGCGTACCATTTGTTCTTGTAATTCCTCGCGATCAACATTAAAGTTTTCGCCGACGTCAGCATCGATGTTGGTAATTGCTAACGAACATTGTTCGAAAATGCATAACTGATACCATGGCTGGCAAATCATAGACAGGTAGTTAGAAACCAGACGTCGGGGACGGTGTTGCCCCGTACTTAACGAGTCCCGAAATTGCAATTGTATCGGTACCATTTTATGTACATCTGGTCCCAATAAGTGCCTACCACCAATCGCTGTCCGCCAGAGCTTTCCGTGACCATCACTCCATTCCGCATTCTGAAGCACCATGTCCGCTCTGCTGCGCTTTGCCGCGTCAGCACGTGTCTGTCACCCGTTCACCGCCCGCAGCGCCGTGACTGCGCGTACTGGGACGTGGACGCACTTTTACGACTCGCTCAATGACTCGCTCCTGTCGCGCTCGATTTCACAGAGCGCCGTCCTCATGAAGCGCAAAGGCGGCGCGTCTGCGTTTGTCACGAAACCGTCGCGCTGGAACGTTAGCAAAGGAAACAAGAGCCACAACGCCCTAAGTACGAAACAGAAGTTGAAAAAAGATGCAGCGCCGCATCGTTCGCACGTTGAGCGCGCGCGCGACTTGAAGACCGCGCAGCGCGCAAACGAGCGCAACGCCAAAGAATGGGCCACGCTCGAGCGCGACGACGAGCTGAACAAGGAGCTCGATGCGGTGTATGAGTACTTGGACCAGTCGGGTCCGCAAGGCGACTACGTGTACGAGCCGGAGCCCAGTCTCGTTGATGTGGACCACGTTAACGCACTTGACAAACTCAACGCAATCGCCAGCGGCAACTTGCACATTCCAACCGTCAACTTCAACGTCAACGAAAACGAAAACGAAACAATCGACGTGGCAGACGAGCCGCTACTAGGACATGACCTTTCCGTCGTGGATTATAACTTTCTCTTGCGTGTGTACGCAGTAAAGGGCCTTCCCAACGAAGCGAACGCTTTGCTCGCCAGGATGGAGCAGAACTTGCCGTCTCTTGCTGCCACCAAGACTGTCGTCGTGCCAGTCGAGCCGACAGACGGGACAGAGCTCGCGCTGTTGAACGCGCTCGAGCACGTGCCGCACGTCGTCCAGCCCGACGCCAAGTCGTACATGCTGTACGCGACCGCTCTGGGCGTCGACGGCCAAGCAGCACGTGCCGTGCGCGTCATTGGACGCATGAAAGAGCGCGGCGTGATGCCGACCGTGGCCGTGTACAACGCAGTGATGCGTGCGTGTGCAAAGGCGGGACGCGTGCCGTGGGCGTACAATGTCATGGAGAAGATGCAAGTGGCGGGGCTCGTGCCGGACCGCGCGTCGTTCACGATCTTGATGAACGCCGCCATTGCTGAAGGCGAGCTGGACAAGGCGTTCGAGACGTTCCACTTGATGCGGACGCACGTGGTCGAGCCGGACGAAGTGGCGTTCAGCTGTTTGATCCACGGCTACGCACGGGAAGGACGCGTTGAGCGCGCGCTGAATTTGCTGGAAGATCTGCTCTCGTGTGGCCTCACACCGTCCCTCGTGACGTTTAATACGCTCATGAACGCGTGTGCCAAGTCGCACTATTACGCGCACAAGGCGATTGACTTTTACTATGAAATGCAAGAGCTGTACGACTATACGCCGGACTTGTACTCGTACACGACGGTGCTGCACGCGTGCGCGAAGAACGGCGACTTTATCCAGGCGGAGCAGATTCTCCGGCACATGGAGCGTCACCACGTTCCCATGACGGATTTCGTGTACAGTACGTTGTTTAACGTGTACGCTCGCGCTCAGATTAGGGGGATTGTGGACAAGGCGCCTCGCAACATGAAGGCTCTGCCAAAGCCCAAGCCGGTGTATCAGGAGCCTCTCGAGTATGACGATGAGGGCAAAGAAATCGATTTGACACGTCCAGGGAAGGAGACCTTTTCGCTCGAGAACGCCAACTACGACGGGAGTTTAGATGACAGCGATGATGACGAAGATGATGAAGTAGAGGCTTACAAACTTAGTCCTGAGGCCCTGGCTCAAGTGGAGGAAATGCGTCAACAGGACCATGCTAATCGTAAAGTGCCGGAGAAAACGATTCAGTCGACAGAAGTGGTTAAAGTCGAGCAGGATATGGAAGTCTACGGCGAGCAAGACCGTTTGCTCTTTGCTGACAGCGAGGAGTCGCTGGATTTTGAGTTGACGCCAATGGATCTTACAAACTTTGGCAAGTACCAGACGCTGAACATCAAGCGTGCAGAGGTTCGTTTTCACGAAATGACATTCGATAACGGTCTCCAGCCGTCTTTGATCACGCTGAATTCGATGCTTGCCGTGTACTCCAATGCATTGCGTTTGCGCTCAGCCGAGACGTTTTTGACCGAGACGTTCCGCAAGTTCGATCATAAGCCAAACAAGTTCACGTACCGCTCTATGATGCAAATGTACGTCCGTGCTAAGCGGACGACGCAGGCTGAGCAGTTACTGGAGCGGATACGATCTGAGATTGAGAACGGAGATCTGGAGGCAGATGCGGTGACATTTGGTTTCTTGGTGGATCACTACGCGAGGAAACGTCTCGTACGACGCGCGCTGGCGACTCTCGAGGACGCTGACGCTCTAGGATTGCAAATGCAAGAGAAGCATTTGAAGAAGATACGTGTTTTGACGGAGAAGTATGGTGTTTTCTCTGACCTCATTCCAGAGGACCCGAATGCTGTGCTGCTGGCTGGTACGCGTCACAAATTGATGGAAAAGCGTAAGGTCCGTGCGCAAGCGTTGGAGTATACCCGCAAGGTTGGGAAACGCTACCTGCTGCCGAAAACTGTCTAGACCCGACGTGTGATACGACCTGAGAGACACACGCGATGATCGAATGGGTGTTCAATTTAACATGCGGAGGGCGAGTGTCGAATAGTACGCAGCGTACGTTGGCTCGTATCTGATAATAGAGATTGGCAAGTTATGGTGTGACGCAAAATTGACTCCATGAAAGCCTTGGCAAAGTGGCTGGTGCTTTCATTCGGCGCAAGTAGCACGTTAAAAAGAAATCGTCGCCTCGTCATCGCGACTTTTTGCCACATCTGAGAACGGCATACGGAAATGCTCTCGGTGAGACGTTCAGTAGATCAACGAATTATCTGCCGAAATCAACACATTTTGACATGAGAGGGATACTGCCTGTTTTTTGTCGAAAGCGGAAGTACCGTATGATTCGGAAAGCAGCAGCAACTGGAAGTAGAGGCCCTAAAAAGGGAGTATGCTGTCGGCTTGCCGGATCGAGCAAGGTACCTTGTGGTATTCTCAGTAGTTTGTTTACGGATCCTCTATTTGACGGGCCCTCTATTTTACAGAGGACACTGTATCGGTATGCGCTATTTTTTCACTGTAAGTAAAATACGGGATACGAAAACGTAAGTTATGTTCGCTCGCTTGTTTTGATTCGTTGTTTTATGTGTTCGCATCGCTTGGTTTAGACGACTCAAGTTTAGTGAAGATGCACCCACTGTCACCATAAAACGTAGTCAAGCTCCATTTGTAATCAATTGTTCGGACGGATTTCACGCTCGGCATGGAGTGCAAGTCGCCCACTTCTTCTTCTTCATCTTTTCCTGCGCAACTGAGAACAGTCGGAGAACGCGTAGACGATGGCTTAGGATCACTCGGGACTATACGTTATGTCGGTCCAGTGCCGACGGCTAAAGACCCACCAGCGCTCTATTACGGTACGTTATGTCAAAACATTTAGCAGCATTGATAGTGGTAAATGAACATCTGAATGAATTTTACCGTTACGTTTATAATTTAAGGCATTGAATGGGACGATTGGGGTCGAGGAAAAAATGACGGCAGCGTCGAACTGCCCAATGGGCAACGAGTCCTGGTTTTTGCTGGTCCTGCTGGTTGCCTTAAAACGCGCACGGGTGATAGCGGTTCAAAGGATACAGTCTTCAAATGCTCATTTGTCAAGTCAACTAAAGTCGACGAAATGCCGAAACCAGCCACGTTGTTCCAGAGACTGCAGGAGAGATACTGTACAGTAGATAGTAATTTCGATCCGGGAGTTGGAGATGTTGATGTTGTGGTGACTGGAGAAGTGCAGACGACGCTAGGCAGTGAGAAGCCCATCGAGTTTGTAGGAGCCAAGAAACTTCGGACCCAGCAGACTTTGCATACCATTGAGAAGATCTCCCTGTCAGGATGTCAAATCGCTGAGCTTGGGATTGGGACAAATGGTGAGAGTCTCAGAACGATGACTCCGAGACTCACTGAGCTGGATTTGTCGAAGAATCTGTTTAAAACGTGGACTGACGTTGTCAGTGTAGTCCGTGAGCTTCCGTTGCTGAAGACCCTGATTCTTAGTGGAAATAGGTTCACTGTTGATGAGAAGAATGTAGCTGGACGTGGTGACGACGTCTTTGAAAGTGTCAAGGTGCTTGTGCTGAATCAGACGCTGCTGTCCTGGAACCAAGTAGGGAAGCTGGTTACACGCCATTTTCCAAAGCTTGAAGAGCTACATTTAGTAGCCAATGAGTACGGTGATGAGCAGTTGAGTGTGTTCCAGCAAAGTGGAAGCTGGACAGAGATGCTCACAGTCCTTGATCTGAGCCTCAATGACTTGGTCTCGTGGAACCGACTTCTTTGCACAGTTGGCGAGATGTTTGTAAACTTGAGCCAGCTGATCTTGAACGGAAACCGTATCGCTGCGCTTGTCACTGATCGTGATAGGCATGTCGCGAGATTCCAGAAACTAACGACGCTGTCGCTGAGTGAAAATCGGGTGAATTCATGGACCTCGATCGACAGTCTGAATGCGTTTCCACTTCTAGACACGCTGCGATTCTCAAAGAACCCACTGACGTCGCAGATGAGCCCGGGCGAGGCCCGGATGCTCATTATCGCGCGTACAGACCACGTTGCAGTCTTTAACGCAAGCCTCGTTCGCGACAAAGAACGCGCAGAAGCTGAGCAGTTGTATCTGAAACGTATACTGCATGAACTGGCCATAGTGGCCGAAAAGGCGTGCGATCGTGAACGGGTGCTAGCCGCACATCCGCGCTACATACGTCTGCGTAAAATGTACCCCGAAATATCCATCGACCAAAATGATAGCGTTTACGGCGGTGGGTCAATGGCTGGCCCACGCACGCTAGCGTCGAGTTTAGTCAAGGTTCGTATCATCCCGATGTCGATGCAAGCCACATCGTTCCAGCCTCTGGTGAAGAGAATCCCTCAGCAGATGAAAGTATCGCAGCTGAAGCTACTCATTGAAGCCAAGTTTGGTGTCGAAGTACCTGCTCAGGTGCTGTCGTTTCGCACCGATTCCAGAGTGAGTTTGCATGTGAGGAGATGGTATAACGCTCACTGACATGCTCACAACGCGTTTATTTCTTGTCGTGCTACAGAGTCTGCCAATGATGCTAGACGACGATAGCGCTGAAGTGGGTTACTTCGGGATGCAGGTATGACAATGTAATCGCGCGTACATGACCTTACCTCACTTTTGCTCTCTTCTATTTGCGGATCAGGACGGATCCGAGGTACTAGTCAATGACTCGGAATGATCCTACGAGTCATCACGCGCGAACACACAAACCAAATGATTCAAAATGGGACTAGCATTATCACTCGACACGCTGTTTCTGCGCACTATTCTCGCAGATGCTCGTCACTTTACAAGTGCTTCAAGAAACTGCTCCCAGTCCCTTATAGGGTGGTGTAGCTGACTCGGCACAAGCGCGTATCAGATCTGGCTCACGACTGGCGATCAAAGTTGCTTGCGGACCCCCCTGGCGTCTCATGTTGGTCATCACATGAAATAAACGGTCGGTTCTAACCATCACGCTGTTTTGGGATGAATGACATGAGGTAGGATTCGCTGGCAACATATTTCTACGTCATCTTCTTATCTACAAATTATTGTGAAGGCATCGTTAGGTCCCGACCACAGGTATGGGCAAGAATAGTACGACGAAAGTCTGTCAGGTGTACAGAGTATGAGGCAGCCAAAAGCGTATATGCGATACATACTGCAACGAGCACTTTGCTACACGTACACCTCTTAACGGGACAACTTCGTCAGCTTTCCTCAAACCAACTGTGCCGAGCATTCTCTGCCGCTCATATGTGTGGCCAATCACTCCCACTTCCTGCAGTCCTGAAATCGAGCACGATTGCTGTTGATGTGTTTTTCCAATTGCTGGATGGTTTCTCTACGATTTATAAATCCCGTTCGTCGTTCTCGAACTCTCTTAACAGCCCGCACATGCCTCAGAACTTGGCTGAGTTAGCTGTACAACCCGATGTGAAGTATCCTTCCTGGGAGTCTTCGGACATGAAAAGTCACAGCGCATTGTATTCAATCTACCGTATCATCAGTCAGGAGGTAGTTCCTACCTACGAGATGACCCTCCCTATAACATGTGGTCGGCGCTTGATGTTTACTATAGTGGCGTCCAGTAGCGGGGCTAGATAATAGTCGAGTCGGTCCATAGCTATCACAGCTCAATGCAGCGGGCGGTCAAATGATACGTCTACTTGCTTAGCACCTCTGTCGCACATATATCTTGGTTTACACTTTACCTGTTTTAGCTCTAGATGTTGATTGTACTACATCGATAGGGTCATTCGCGGTTCAAGCTTGTAATTCGAAAGCGTTTACCCCATGACGTGTACTTTGTAACCCAGCTAGCTGATCGAGAAGTGCTGTATGGAATCTACTAGTAGCATTACACTTACTTCCGTTTGTTGCGATGACGGTGCATCGACCGACAGTAGTTGTGAAAGCGCTGTTGATGCAACAAAGTCCCGGCAGAAGGTACCAGGTTGTCAAAAATTCAGCAGCTATTGCCATCTCGATGAACACTTCTAGTATGTGAGCAACCCTTTCTCGTCTTCTTAGCTCATCCGGCTTGCGCAAGTTTACAAGATCTGCCGAAACATTCTCCATGAGTTCATTTTTGCTCGGTAGGGATGACGATGAGGAGGTTAAGCCAAATGTGGTGTGTTCAATGCACGTTCGACTGTCAGTGTCGCGAACGGACTCCGTAGGTGTCGTTCAGCCTTTTACTGTTTAAATTAACTTCCAATGCAGGATGATGATGTCTACGCAAGACCTTTAGCACTTCGCGTACGTCGCAGCCAAGCTACGAGTACACTGCAGTCGTGACCGTTGATACCATTTTGATACCAAGTCATGGTAGCCCTCCAGGCAAACCCATTTTCCTTTTAGTAACTAAAGCCACGTGATGCTGCTAGCACGTGACATAACATTTGCCACCGTCGTACATCTTCACGAATATTACCAAAGTGGTAAAAAATACCATTCAGGTACAATATGTAACGGAGTTTTCATTGGATTAGCTTCAATATAGTTGTCAGGATGTCCTGAAGTATTTGGATAATAAAATACTAAAGTAAAAAATACTAAAAATAGTGTCATTAAAGTTATATTTAAATTGAATAATAACGGACTTGAACCGCTAACATTTTCGGTGTAAACGAAATACTCTACCAATTGAGCTAATTATTCATTGGGCCTAAGTAGACTTCCCAATCTTTGTCGTTTCCACAGTCTCGCAAAATGGATTTGACTATGATTTCGTCTCGTTACGATGGCTCCTTTATTATGTGCCTTGTAGATTGTTGTTGCTCTTCGGTTACTTGAACGTGAAGGGGTGTAGAACTCAAACCCTTACATATTCGGAGCAATCATACCGTTTGTACAGGTAACCAGCTCCTCATACAAGGTAACGTTTCTAGCAAATAGGGCAATGTTGTTGATTATGGACAGGTGTGGTGGAATTTCAACATGCATCGGCTCGGGCTGGAGCCTCGACTTGAGATCATTCAAAGAAGCGGAGCAAAACGATGTACTGATCCTATTCAAATTAGTATCAGCACTGATTGCAAACCAAGTTATGGTAGATATAATCGGTGGGAATGACAAGCCACCACTGACGCCATCTTCGAAAACATCCCGAGAAATTTTGCCTCGTTGTTTGAATGAAAGCTGGTTGTCTCTGTTTTCTTTTCGTGTCATGTTCTACTACGATTCATACCAGAATTTTCCTGCGTCCGACTATGATCCCGTTTGCCACATTATGCGAGCTCGACCGCTGTACAGTCTCCACTTACCTGCTTTGTTTCGAGGTCTGATTGTGATCGTAAGAGCTTTTGCAACTCGATGTGGTTGATAAACGCACATGCACGCGATCATCTGTAGAACTATTCTCGCCGATTCTCAACGGCAGAAAAGGTTTCTCAATGATTCAAGCTCAGCGCGTGATCGTGATTCGTTCTTTGTTGTGGTGTCGTTCGCAACCTAACGGACGACATCGACTCGGACAACGGCACGCTACGCGCTTTGTTCTTGCAGCCCCATGCGGCCGCCTCCCACAGCCCGTTCAGATTACACGACATCGCAACCGAGCACAAATGACATGTTGTGCTCAGCACCTCATCTTGTGTATGAAGTGGGTCGGTCATGCACCTATACGGGTAACTCTTTGCGTACAAGTGGCCACACCGTAGCTGAAAAAACATCGTTTACCGGACCTCTTTTCTTCTCAGTACCTATCGTGTCGCCACATCTTCACACTTGTGAATGCAACTTTCTTCTATCTTTCTCCAACATGCGCTCATCCCAACGGTTATACAACGCTCATCTTCCAGCCACCCAACTACACTTACCTGATCACCCACCCACCCTTAGTTTTGAACGAGTTCTCACGTCACTTGCGTGCCTCATTCCTATCTACAATAACCAGGTGTCCACTTTGAAGTTTGTAGGGTAACTCTATTAATATATCGGCAAACCGTTTCCAACTACAGACCTTCCAACGGACCGTTTTTCTACAAGTACGCGAGCAACCAGTGGATGATCGAGGTCATGGTGATGGCAGAAGAACGACGTAATGATGCAGGACGCAAAAAAGAACGGAGCACTCGACTCTTCGGCATTCAAGAACTTGCTGATCAACGAACACCAGGATGAAGGCCACTTTTGCTCGAGCGCAGAAAATTCGCGGTAACCTCGCAGCCGTGAGCCAGCCAAAGGTGCCAGTGCCGATGCCGACTGGACCAAGCGACAAGCGGGGCTTCATTTGGGTCTCTTCACGTGATGCCGAGATCTATCCTTTGGTACTCTGTGTGGGTCTCGGCGTATCGGTTGCCGTTTTTAGCGGTGTTCGCCACCTGACATCCGACCCTGATGTCAACGTGAGTCGTGACCGACGTGAGACGCCAGCGTGGGAGCGCTACGAGCCTGAGGAAGGGAAGACGTTTTCGCGGAACCGCCACAACTTCGCCAATCTCCAACCGAATCCGATCAACACGTTCGCCGAGTCTTCTTCGCATCAGGAAGAGACTGCTGAAACGCATTGAATCATCGTTGAAGAAGGCGGAGGGCCGCGATAACGCGAGTAGCAGTAGTGAAACGCACGAAACTTTCTCACTAATCAAAATATATTTTTCTCTGATGAACTTTGAAACGCATTGAGACCAAACCCATGTGCACTTTGGTTTGGAAGGGCGGTGCCGCAATTTACTCTTCGCGGGAGAGAATGCACCGTGATGCCATGACCGATTCCAGCTGACGTGAAGCGCCTTTCACTGCCGTACGGTTTCGTCCGGTGTCTAGTGTCAAAACGGGTTGTCGTCTCCTTGCCCAACTCTGACGCGTGGTAACGAGAACATGTTTGAAAAGCCGTTGCATGCTTTGCATCGTGCGGCTCTTTCGCGCCGGACCAATTGACTTGACATTTGTGTCGCAGGACATGTCCACCAGTTCATCGGACAGCTATCCTGCGTACTATAGGATGCTTTCGGTTCACCTAGATCTCTCTTCCCCTCAAATGCGTATCTCAGAGTTCAGTGCCATTGCTATGTACGATACTTGCTGGCACCTAACGATGGTGCAGGACGTCCGCTTGAGTCTACAGAAAGCGGATCACCTTCATCGACGCATCGCAACTTGCGTTGTTGTATCGTGCAGTTATGAGTTTCCTGCATAAGGTTATTCAACTACAAAATGTTGCAAGGTGTGATTCAAGAATGCTAACAACAAATGCAGTGCATCATAAGAATGACCTGAAGTACGTAAAACGTGCGAAAAGCTCGACAAGCTCGTCATTTCGCTCACCTGTGCACCGGCTCGGCACCGAATGGTCCACTTCAAGTGTTGTCATGCTTCGAGTATCTTCTTTCCAGCCGGATTGACACCACTCGTCGATTTAGCATGCAAACTGCAGCCGTCGTTGTGCTAATCGACCAATGTCTCAAGACTCCGTTCACTTCGATACTATCTTCATCAACGGCTATCGAATCAGCGATTGAACGATCTGTCTTGATTGAAATTTGCTAGCTCTTCAGCCTCAGTCGACCCCACTTCCTGCCATCGATGTCTTCTATGTATCATCTTTTTCGTCGAAGGCTTTTTCTATCGATCAGTGAAGGCAACGTGGACGAAAAAGAACACGTTGCAGTCGACTTCGCATTCAGTCGTGTATTCTGGTGCGCTGCTTTCCACCGTGCGTATCTTAGGTTTATCGATATTGCAACATCGTCGACAAGTAAAGGTCCCATTGCTCCGAATGAAGGCTTGTAATGTGTAAACCTATCGAGCGTTTGTGCAGTAAACGTTGTACATGGGTTTCTGCACGTTTGAACCATTCCTCGCAGATAAATGATGTAATGGTGACGGCACATCGTAGGGTACGCACAGCGCCCGACGTGTGTGCTAAAATTACAATAGGCGCTTACCTTACAATTGATACGAGACGAATTGGAGAGTACATTTCTTGCGTGGTACTTGCTCTCTGCATCGTGCTTTTGTGGATTTTACCCACCAAAACCAACTATACTTCAATCACTGATTAGTTTCTGCAAATGTACGCTTCCTTTATCCGTACAGGCATCTTAGCTATGGTGAATATGAAGAAGTGGAGAGCAGCACGTAAAAAATAAACATCACTGCTGCTTTGTTTCTCTCGTAGTACTAACTGACGCTGCTGTATTCACTGCCTGTTCATCTGTCAGTCAAAAATTCGTTCGAGAATGAGAATGACACCGACTGCGCAAACGAGCTGATCGTCTTAAAATGCGCACGTCGCTTTCTGGGGAGTCCAGGTGTAACGGGGTTGCACGAAATTATGGTACTTTGTACCAGAGGTGTTACACACCTGAGGTTATCCCTTTGTGAAGGTGATATAGAATATCTTATTGGTTTGTAGGGGCTGACGAGTGTCAGCCATTAGGTACGAAAGATCTTTGAGTAGGATTAAGATATTCTATAAGCGCTAACAAAAATAACATCAGTTTCCATTTTGATCTAAAGGACACGTGGCTTGCGAGCCGTCTTGACCGTTGATCACTGATCACTAAGAGTTAGCAACACCTCCTTGAGGTAGCTACTCTTGAGCACTGAGTGCTGTCGATTCACTGAATCGTTAGGTCCCCTGGAACAGGGATCTGAAGCTGTAAAGCTTGCTGACTCGTAAAGTCGTTGGTTCTTTGGAACTAAGTTGCTCGTGGAGCGTTAAGTCTTCCTCTGACTTAAGGAGCTGTGTAGCTCCGCTACACTTGGTAGCACTTGTAGTCAATCTACGCCTGAGTCTTTAAGACTGATCCTCTGTGAGGATGGAAAACTCCACTCCCTTATCTGAGGCCCAAAAGGTCGCGCTTGATAAGCTGACCGCATCTTTGGGTCCAGAGTACGTGGAGTTCCTTGTTTCACAAGGTCCTGAAGTGCTTAATGCACGTGTTGAAAGCTTCATGCAGTATGAAGCGACCCTTTTAGGGCAGGTCCAGGACTAAGTTGCGTCGTCTATGCCTACGCGCTATGTGTCTGTACCAGACGAAGAGGCTAGGCCTCGTCCACTTAGAATGGAAGTTTAGAACTACTCCGGTAAGGAGGGTGAGAACCTCATCCTCTGGATCCGTGAGATTGAGATGGCCATGAGATCATGCCTGATCACGCTTGATCATCAACAGGTCTCGCTGGCTATCTCGAAGCTCGATGGTAGAGCCAGAGAATGGGCCTTGACATGTAGCACGTCGGTGGACATAGCGTTTCCCACATGCAAGTCGCTCAAGTCACAATTGGCACAAATGTTTTCTCCACCTAACCAGGCTTTCCGCGTGCATTCACGCTTTCTCTCTACCCGCCAGGGTAAGAATGAATTATCGGACTATGTCCAAGAGCTGCGAACGCTCATGGCGGCAATGCAGTCTGACCCTCTGCCTGAAGCAGTCCATGTGACTATCTTCATGGAAGATCTACGTACTGGCATTGCCAGAACCGAGGTTTTTCGGGTTCACCCCCCTACATTTGAAGAGGCTGTGAGAATTGCTCTTAATACTGAGCATAACTTCAAGTCGGCCAGACTTGGTTGGAATGGATACAATCCTCTCTCTGTGAGAGCAAACTTTTCGGGTACCACTGCCTATAATAGGCCGGAACCGATGGATCTCAGCTATGCTGAAGATGGAGGTGAAGCTGAGCTTCAAGCTGCTGAGCAGCAACACGTCGTACGATGATGTTTTACGTGCGGAAGCACTAAACACTTGCGGCCTGGTTGCCCTTTGCGTAAGCAACGCCAGGTTACGAACCAAAACTCGACCCCGAGTCAGAAGTCTGGCATGGCACGGGGAAATGCCGACACCCAGTAGGCGCGGGGCGCCCTACTGGGGAAGAATTAGGTTCTGTTACACCTTTAGAAGGTAAAGGAATGCAGGGCTTAGCCCCAAAGATTACCCTTACTTACAGGTATGGTGCGTGGATACAAGTCTGGCTGTTGGTCGCCGAGGCGAAAACTAAGGGCTTTGAGAAGCCTTGGTCGATATTGATCGATTCTGGAGCGTCTTGCAATTATGCTCGACGCCATTCCCTTGAGGGAAGTCAGCGTTATGTTGAGGCGCTTAAAGCGCATGAAGGTGATTCTATCACGGTTCGTTTAGCGACTGGAAGTCGCGTAACTGTGCCTAAAGTTACATTGAACTTAGATATAAAGTTTTTAGACTTTGACAGTATTGAGCGCTGTCTTGTACTAGATTTGGACTCGAGATATGATCTCATCCTAGGTATGGCTTGGCTTGAACGCCATGAGCCCTGGATTTATTGGAGGTCTATGAACTTAGGCGCCACGCGGAACGTTCCTAGCGAAGCTTTGGAGAGTCATGAACCCACCTTCGCTAGGCAACAGAAGCGCTATTGGCGCGAGCTTTTGACAGAAGATGTCAATGTGCTGGATATTGGGATGTCTGAGTTATCTAACTCCAATGTTACAAACATTAGTTTCGAGCCTAGCTCGTCTGAAACTAGTGAAACGGCACAAACCCCGTTGAGTGTTACTCGTTGTGATAACGAGTCACTGCATGCTTAAAGCATGGTTGGCCTAGGGCCGAGTGATCAAGGATGTGATTCCTTTGATGTATGTATGGTGGCACGTGAAACTACACCGAGTGCGGTCGGCCGTGAGGGCACCGCACTGAATGTCGGTAATGACATTGTTGGCCATATGCCATTTAGTGTGGGCGGCCGTGAAGGCACCACGCTTAACGTCGGTAATGGCGTTGTTGGCGATTCGCCATATAGTGTGGGCGGCCGTGAGGGCACCACACCTAATGTCAGTAATGATTTTGTTGGCGATACGCCATATAGTGTGGACGGCCGTGAGGGCACCACGCTTAACGCCGGTAATGACGTTGTTGGCGATACGCCGTAAAGTGTGGGCGGTCGCGAGGGCACCGCACCTAATTTCAGTAATGATACTGTTGGCGATACGCCGTATAGTGTGGACGGCCGTGAGGGCACCACACCTAATGTCGGTAATGACCTTATTGGCGAGACGCCGTTAAATTTGGGGCTAGGCCCGCATAATACACGTGGAGTGGCACGTTTCAATCCACTATGTGAAGTGTTCGAGTTTTGTAACACTTCACCGGATGTCTGTCAAGACAAAAGCTCTTGTGTAGAGCGTACTATGGTTAGTAGTTACCATGGGGACAATATTGTCCCGACCCCTAAGGGGTGTAAGGTCTCGAAGAGACGATCGAGACGCCGGGTAGCAACTTTTAAGCGCCAGGCGTCCTCACAGTCACATAGTGATTATAGTAATACACTGTATACACTTGTTAATGGAGTGACTGGTCAGGTTGATGGCAGTGTTTGCCTTGAAACCCTTCCATCTGTGGACGCTCTTTGTGAGCTAGACGAAATGTCTGATGGCGAGTTTAGCCAGGCCTTGAAGGTGGGAGACTTATCCGAGTTAGCGGTCATTAGACCTGATACTGAGTTGAATTTTTCCTCGTTAATAGATGAGTCTGTCCTAGAGGATACAAAGGCGGCACTTAGTGCACGAAGTGGATCTTCGATCCTTAAAGATCCTTTGGATCCGTTCTATCCTTTAGTCAAGGAATTTCAAGATGTGGCGTGCCACAACCCACCTTCTGCCTTACCTCCCGATAGAGGTGTACGTCATGAGATTGACTTAGTTCCAGGAACCAAATACTGTGTGACGCGACAGTGGCCGCTGCCACAAGAACAATGTGACGTCATTGACGAATTCTTTCGTGCGAAGCACGCGGCTGGAATGGTGCGTGAGAGCAAGTCTCCTCACTCTACGCCCACGTTTTGTGTGAAAAAGCCTAATGGGAAGTGGCGAATAGTGCATGCTTACAATAAGCTGAATGCAGCCACTATCCCGGCTCAAACACCGATTCCTCGCAAGGATGTTCTTCTGAACAATATGGTGGGATGTACAATGTACAGTGCCCTCGACTTAGTCGATGGATATTACCAACTGCTCATGCGAGCTAGTGATATTCCGCTAACAGCGGTGAGTACTCCGAGCGGTATGCTCTGGGAGTGGCTTGTTATGCCACAAGGGATATCGAACGCCCCGGCTACGTTTAACCGGCTGGTAACGCAACTTTTATAGACCTCATCGAGGCTATGCACAAACGTACTTTGATGACATTTTTTTCCCATAGTCGTGCAATGAATGGGCGATCAGATGTGGATAACCACATTGATCATTTACGAGCGGTGCTCGAGTGTATGCGAACGAATAAGTTGTATGCTAACTCATCGAAGTACACCTTTGGTGCAGAAGAAATTCCCTTTCTAGGGTGCTTCATTGGGAAACGAAGCCTTCGAGTGGATCCCGCTAAGGTGAAAGCCATAGTCGATTGGCCGGTTCCCAAGAACCAAAAGGACTTGTGTAAGTGGCTTGGCCTTGCCAATTACTTACATAAGTATAGTGCGAATTATGCAGATATGGCTCGGCCATTGTCCAATCTCCTTAAAAGGGATGTGGATTGGTGTTGGGGTAACACCATACATAATGCTTTTGAAGCAGTTAAAGAGAGTCTCCTTCATGCGCCAATATTGGCTTTGCCCGATTTTGGTCGGCCTTTCAGTGTCGCCTGTGACGCATCTGACTTTGCCATAGGCAGTGCTCTGTTACAAACAGATGTCGACGGACGCGAACGCGTCATCGCGTTTGAGTCTCGCCAGCTGAAAGCTGCAGAGAAGAACTATATAGTTCATGACAAGGAGCTACTTGCAATGAAGTATGCTCTTGTCAAATTTAGAGTACATCTGCTTGGCCCAAAGCCGTTTGTGATCTATACCGATCATCCGTCGTTACGCACAGCGACACAGTCGCCTCATCTCTCGCAGAGAATGGCTCGTTGGCTCTCCTTTTTCGCGGAGCATAACTTCGAGGTGAAGTATAAGCCGGGAAAATAGAATGTTTTGGCTGATGCGCTATCGCGTCGACCTGACTATGCGCTTGATCATGTTACGACTCTGTCGTCGTCAGTCCCTGACTTAATTCGTACGGCATACGCCAAGGATGATCAGTGTGTAGCTTTGCTACGTGCTCTTGGGAGCGATGAGTTTGAAGAATCGGACATAGAATTGTCGGCACGTTTACGTGCGAGGCTACATCGATATTCCATCGATAATGGCCTGTTGTGCTATCGCACGGATATTGAGGATGAGCCTCGTATCGCTGTACCTCATGATGAGGAATTAAATTATCGAATCCTCTATGAGGCACATGATACTGCTTAAAGTGGTCATCTCGGTCGTGAGAAGACTTATAGCTCGGTGAGCCAAAGTTATTGGTGGCCCAAACTTTTTAAGTGGGTGCGCACCTACGTGCGTACGTGCGAAACGTGTCAACGGGTTAAACCCTCGGCACATGCGGCGGCGCCGCTGGCTAGTTTGCCAGTACCCACTGATTGTTGGGAGTCCATGAGCATGAATTTTGTGTTTGGCCTACCGCGTGATGTGGCAGGCAACACTGGGATTGTGGTCTTTGTTGACCGACTGAGCAAGATGGCTCACTTAGCGGCCGTGCCGGACTCCATCGATGGAGAAGGAACAGCAAAGCTGTTCATGGATCGTGTGTTTCGACAACATGGATTGCCTGTGGCAATTGTCTCTGATAGAGACCCCCGTTTTACGGGTAAGTTTTGGAAGTCAGTCTTTAAAGTGCTGGGCACTCGACTGGACATGTCCACGGCGGATCATCCGCAGACCGACGGTCAGACTGAGCGTGTTAACCGCGTCATCAACGACATTTTGCGCAGTATTTGCGCTGATACGCCTAGGCGTTGGAGCACAATGCTCCCTCTGGTTGAGTTTGCGTTGAATAACGCGGTGCATGCCTCAACAGGCTTCACCCCATTCTATATGAATGGTTTCATTAACCCTCGCGTTCCGTTAACGCTATCACTACGTGAATCAGGGCTTGTTGGGGGAGAGGTTGCCGATCGGCTTGCTGATATCAGCCCTGCTACTGTTAAAAAACAGGTAAGCGAGTTTCTCGCAACGTGATTAAATGTCTTAAGACATGTGCGTGACGCAATGGCTGATAGCCAAGATACCCAAAAACAACAAGCTGATGCCAAAGGCAGAAATTGTATTGAACGTTATGGGATCGGAGACTTAGTACTACTCAAAGCTAAAAATCTACCTGCAAATGTAGTGTCTGCTGTCTTTAAGACAAAGTTGCGTCCACGCTTTATTGGACCGTTTACGGTCACGGTCCAATAAAGCGTGGACGCAACTTATTATTGGACCGTTTACGGTCACGGTCCAATAAAGCGTGGACACAACTTTGTCTTAAAGACAGCAGACACTACATTTGCAGGTAGATTTTTAGCTTTGAGTAGTACTAAGCCGTACCGGGATCCTTCCCATGTGAACTTGGAGACGCTTGCGCCGACGACTAGGGCACTGCCCCGGATTGCTGTAGGCGGATCAGCAAGTCCAACTGAGCCTCGCTCCGAGTTTGAGCTTGCTCCATCGCCTTAAGTCGGCTTTGCATCGCATCCAGCATGCACTGGGACTTACCCAAGGCCTCATGAAGACACTTCACTTCGAGAACCAATTTCTCGTGGGCCTCCACCGGTACACCGGCCGCCACCGACTTTGCTCGATGAGCATGGGTGTCGTCAATTTCATGTCGAGAGACTACTGAAACGACGTCGTCGTCAGGGTCAATACCAGTATCTGGTAAAGTGGCGTGGGTACCCTGAGTCTGAAAACGCATGGGAATTTGAGGTACCCCTTCGGCAAGACTGCCCATATGCTTTGGAGGCTTTTGAGCATCGTGGCCATGGTCATCTCGAGACCGAGGCTGTTCCCCACCACTAGTGGTGCGGGTAGGCGGGTTGTTGGCCACAGACTGACCAGCATTCGCGGCTACCTTAGTAGCCGAAGCATAGCGCGTGCGCTTACGCAATTGGCCTCTGGCCTTAAGCTTGGCATAATCATACCGAAGCTTGCGTTCGAGACGCACATCCGCCACATGGGCACTAGCCCTTAGAGCAAAAATGTTGCTGAGGCGACGCACATAGTGCACCCAGTGAACAAAGGCATCATCTTCTTCGCTCACTGCTTCGCCTGCGAACAAGAGAATGGGTATACCCTTGATCGGTGGAACCGGTGTACCACGCGCTTGCATGTCAAGGCGTGCCTTGTATTGACTTTGAGTCGTTAGGTGCGGCATCAGGTACCTTTCGCGAATTGCCTGGCAGCTCAAAACCTCCTTAGGAGTCTTAGGCCCATGGCCAATGACCCACGTTGCCAATGTTTGGCCGGCCGCTTGACGTAGACGTTTCTCCACACTGGGTGGGGTGAACACATAGTCACGCTGGCGTTCAAGGGTTGTAGCCATTTTTACATAACGCTGAGCGTTTTCTTCTCTTTGGACAAGCAATTGTTGTTGCTCATCGAGCGGATTCGTGATGATAGTCTCATCAGACCCAGATGCTGCATACTGCGCTGGTGGCGCGCTCGCATCTCCACGTTCAGCGAACGGATTTGGGGTGTTCGAGGGTTGTGCCACAGGCATCAGTGAGCCGGACATTGTCCCTGTATCACCGCGGAAACTGGTATCTCTACCGTAGTCTACCTCCTCCTTTATTTTAAGGTAGTCACACAGAGCCTTTGACTCGTTTGGTGATGAGGACATCGTGCTAGAGCGTACGTTACCGTGAGATTCACCGCACGCGCACTGTTCTCGCTGAGAACACAAGTTCGATTGAATTTTTGGCAAACGTCAGTCTGGTGGGGGAGGGTGTAACGGGGTTGCACGAAATTATGGTACTTTGTACCAGAGGTGTTACACACCTGAGGTTATCCCTTTGTGAAGGTGATATCGAATATCTTATTGGTTTGTAGGGGCTGACGAGTGTCAGCCATTAGGTACGAAAGATCTTTGAGTAGGATTAAGATATTCTATAAGCGTTAACAAAAATAACATCAGTTCCCATTTTGATCGAAAGGACACGTGGCTTGCGAGTCGTCTTGATCGTTGATCACTGATCACTAAGAGTTAGCAACACCTCCTTGAAGTAGCTACTCTTGAGCACTGAGTGCTGTCGATTCACTGCATCGTTAGGTCCCCTGGAACAAAGATCTGAAGCTGTAAAGCTTGCTGACTCGTAAAGTCGTTGGTTCTTTGGAACTAAGTTGCTCGTGGAGCGTTAAGTCTTCCTCTGACTTAAGGAGCTGTGTAGCTCCGTTACACCAGCGCTCCTCGATAGTAAGGCGGCGGTTGCTCCGCCGTGGGCGCGACAAGCGACACCGTCCCTTACCCCGGAGACACTTGAGAGTTTCCTTTTGGCATGTTCATCTTGGGCATAGCAGCTGAAAGCCACTTGTTGACATCTTCTCCAACTCGTGCGATCGCAGGTGACAACGATCGCACTGTCGCTAGCGTTTTCGAACGGACTATAGACCTTGCATTTTGGACAGTGGCGTAACAATCACGTCCTCCAACGATACGAACAAGTTGGACTCAATGGACTCGAAACTGCACCAAGCGATCGACTTCGCTGCATCGGACTACTTAATATCTAATTGCCTTCCAAAACGAGCGCAAATCTTGCAGTACGTGCTCTGGCGTCAAGAGCTCGTTCTGCTTCTTTGCATTGAATGGCTCTAGAAACACGTGTGTCATTTCCGCGTCTGTAGAAGGGTGCTTCTCAGCCACCACTGGTTGTCTTCTCTCCAGCACAGTAGCACGAACATCATTAGCCGCGGTCATAAACCCTCGTCCGTCCGTCCGTCATTTTGATGTCCTGATACTGAACCTGGTTTATCCCAGCTTCTTCTCCGAATCCAAAGCCTTGTAATCTCTTCCTTGACTCAAAAGTATGTTGCAACATTTTTTTCCTGATCTCTCGCCGCTGCAATGGCTACAGCAACTTGTTGTGACAGCGTTTGCACTCAATCTGTTGTTATGGCATGTCAGATACTATCATGTTTGGCAGTTTCAAAGCTCAAGGGATATACCATGTGACGGTCTCACCTGATTGGCTGATGGTCAGACCAGGTGACATGTAGGGACCAGCATGGGTACCGACTGTCCTGACAAGACCGATAACCACATTTTGGACGAAAAGTCGGCAGCCCCCGTAGGGGCGATTGATCAGGTGTTGGCTATGCTCGGGGACCTATCCGATCGGATGAATCGGATGGAGGTCGCCCGGAAGGAGCAAAGTGAAAGGACCAAAAGGGGTCACAGGAGTCAATCTTCGGTTCGGCCCTGGGAGTTGTAGCGGGGATGAGTCTTCAGGCTTTGGGCCGTACTCATCCTCTCAAGAAGTCCTCAAACGTGTAGCCAGCGACGTACTTCGGGGAAAGGCGCCACAACCAAGCAGATGCTGGTGGGCGACCTGCGGACCATATTGAAGCGGATTCAACATAAGACCATTTTCTGAACCTCTACACCCCAGGCAAGAGGTGCATGCGGGATACATTTCTGGTGGGGGCATACCAAACAGGATGTATGTTCATCCTGGGCCGCAGGTTGCGGGCATGCCGGACGCGCAACATCGAAAACTGGTGCTGCAACCCTTCGACGAAAAGGAACTCTACCACGGGCTTGGTAGTGGGTTCCTTGAATGGGGCAAAGCTTTTGTTCGATAAGTCGGATTTTCGGAGCGTGCGTGTGGGTTCGCGTTGCCGAAAGATGTCAAGGTTGATGTCATGGGGCAACATCTGGCCGGCAAGGCACAGATGTACCACCTTCGGCAGGTGGGAACTTGGTGGTCTGAAAGTCAAACTATGGACTATGCTATGTAAAGGTTGCTGCAGACTTTTAACACCAAGATCTCACCTTCCCAGATTACGAAGTTGTTCACGGCGCCGAAGTCAAGTCACAGAAATTGGACGGACCACTTCCTGTATCTGACGACCGTAAGCGATGCGTGCGGCGGTGCGGACAGCCTAGTGATTGACAATGTCGTCCATCATGCGGACCCGCATATACGTATGACCATGTTGTCTAGGTTGGACATGCATCGCATCGACCCCTTACGACAGGCTGAAGAGCTGGCGCAGTTCGCGCAGTCAACGTAAATTGAGAATCATGCGAAAACTTGGGGCGGGATGTTGGTCAACGCTATTGAACCAAGAAGGGAACCAAAAGATAAGATTAACGCAAAGGTGAAGACTAACTTCACGGTAGGAGACGAGAACGCGTGCTACAAGTGTGGCAAAGTCGGGCATATCAGATCGAAGTCCCTGACTCAAATAAAAAGATTCCAAAGACAAACTTTACCTTTGCAATTGGTAATGGTGGTGGTCTACAAGTCAACCATTGGATCCTTGACAGTGGGTCTAGTAGACTTTTGGTCAGCGAGTTGAGTCTGCTGGTTGGCCTGGAGGATTTTTCATAGCGAGTGCTTGAAGGCGGCCACCGATGGAGGCGTCCTACGTGTGATCATGAGAGGAAGTGTCGACGATAAAGTTGTCGCACTTGGAGTCGTAAACACGATACGGCTCCTCGATGTTCAGTACGCCGCAAACCTCGCGCGTAATATCGTTTCGTATGGAAAACTGGAGTCTATGGATGCGCACTCGAATATCGAGGAGGGAAGCGTGTGTTGACATCCGGGTTCGGAGGCGCACCGGTTATGGACGGTTAATCGAAAAAGCAATGTGTTGGTTGTCAAGGTGATGGGGGGGGGTACATCACAACCTCAAGCACATAACGGGAGACGATGATGGCTGTACTCATTTCACCTTAATCCAATTCGGATGTTTAGAGTGGTACCTTGATGCAGTTTCATCGCAGGCTGGGCCATCTATGCTTTGATACGATCATCAAGATGGTCAAAGACCCGGCGTCGGCTATAAATCTGACTTACACGACACACTCGAAAAAAATTGTTTGGCATGTGCTCAAGGAAAACAAGCTAAGGTAAGCAGTCGAAGAAAGACACGGGCAAAAGTTCACCTACCGATGTGTTAGGTGGAGTGATATGCTCTGACCTCAAAGGTCTGATAACCCCAGGAGATCGTCCAAGCAATCGTTTTCTGGTCAATTTTGTTGATCACCAGTCGAAACATTGCCGCGAGTTTTTAGTTAACTCGAAAGACGTTGCTGCACTCGAGTTCAAACATTTCATAATGATTTTTGAAATTGAGTTCAATTGCAAGATCCACGTGCTACTCACGGAAGTTGAAGGCAAATACAAGACACTGGACGTATTTTGCAAGACTACGGGAGCATCACGTCGAAAATGTGAATATAGGAACCAAGCCAGCAATGGCAAGGCTAAGCGAATGCATTGTACCATTATGAATATGGTATGAAGCATGATGTTTGCTTCAAACCTACTGTTGTCTCTCTAAGACGATGCTGCTTAACACGCGGCTCACATCCTTAACAGGAGTCGAAACAAGTCGAATCCTGGTGGTGTATCACCCATGAAATTGTTTCAGAGAAGGCACCCATGCTAAACGACATCGTGGTATTCGATTCGGCATGCACGGTCCATGTCAACGCCAGAAACAAGTCACTTGGCGAGCGCGGGAAGGCGGCCATAATAATTGGCAAAATCGACAAGACGAATGGATTCAAGATGTCGTTTCGAAGGACAAGGTGGTTTTGGTAACGCAATATGTGCAAAACATCGAAACATCGACGGACAAGCATAACGGGCATCTCTAGTGACACTTTGAAAAGGCCGACCGCCAGGAGAAAATCTATAACGATGTTCAGCAAAATTTTCAAGTGCAACCAAGTGCTAAAAATGAGCCACTAAGAACCGTAAAGGTGGAAGGTCCGGATGGACAAGAGAGCGACATGGTACAAGTTCGACCAGAAAAATCTGGATAATTACTGTCGACTGCAGGTCCTGCTGAGCGCTACGATATGGTAAACTCAGTTAAAGTGCAAGACCCCAATCTCTATGGGGAGGCAGTCAAGAGCGACCATCGAGAGCAGTGGAGGATTGCCATGACCGAAAACTGGACGCTTAGAATTAGAATGACGCTTGGGAGATTGTGGTGCCACATAAAGGTGCGCACGTCCTGCATAACAAGTGGGTGTACAACACTAAGACCGAATTGAACGGAGACTTTGAGTGACACAAAGCTCGTCTGATTGTTTGCGGAAACGAACATGTTTTTGGATTGAATTATAATCTAACGTTCGCGGCCGTCATGGACTTGGGAACAGCGAAGTTGATTCTGGTGCTCTCCAGACGATGGAACGTACCGACACGCCATGGTGACGTATTAATTGCGTATTACAAGGCGGAGAAGGAGGAGCACCTGCACATCTACATGAAGATACCGAAGGGAATGGCTGTGGAAACAAAGAGCTATAAAGTCATCGAGCAAGGTCACCAAGTGATACGGCACTACTGTTGAAAAAATCAGCGAACGGTATTAAGCAGGCTGGGCGGATTTGGAGCAAATTACTTGAATCTAAGCTGCGACAAGGTGGATTTCAGCAATGTACGGCGGACATGTGCCTGTACTACAATTACTAGGGCGAGGTACATGTACAGTGGTCGGTGTCTAGGTGGATGACCTTCTGGTCTTAGGCACCAATCAAAGCGCTGTAGACGAGTTTATTGCTAAGATGAGTTCCTTGTCTATCAAGGACCTAGGGGTCGTAAACAAGCTCCTATTATCACGGATACAGCTGGACAACTCAAATGGATGCGTTTTTGATCAATAGTTCACGAACGACCTGTTTCTCAAGGAGATTGGGATGGAGTCTGCAAACGGAGTGCGGACTTCTATTGAGGACGAGTGTAATATGGATGATGAGAGTGATCTGGACTACGCGCCTGTGAGAAGCGCAATAAGTGAAACAAGAGTGAACTCGTTTTAGTCGCTGGTGAGAAGTCTGCTATGGATTGCAAGAGGTACGCGTCTAGACATATGCTTCGTAGTGCACAAGGCCACGAAGCAGACACACAGGTCGACCGGAAGACAGCCAAGCGTATCGTGAGATACACGAAGACGTCGAAGTATAAATTACACTTAAACTGCATTTAAATGGTGTCGGAACGACGGCAGAGTACGTGCAGATCGAGTTTTGAAGCGGTGCGAATTTTGCTGCCGATGAGGCTGACCGTAAGTCCGTGTTCGTGTGTGTAATGAATGTGGATGGTGCTGTTGTACTATGGTTGTACAAGAAGCAATCAGGGGTGTCGCTGAGCACGATGAAGGCTGAGTTCATTTCATCGTCGCAGGCTGGAAGAGAGCTACTATGCACAAAAGAGCTGATGAACAAACTTAAGCTGCGTGTGCGCATGCCTATGCCAATGTGGATCGACAATCAAGAATATATAACAGATCATGTCGTAAAAGAGTACATCAAGCGCCAAGCAAGCACGTGGATTCACGCTTCAAGTTTATCTGCCATTGTGCACAGGAATTGTGGTGCCGAAATTCGTCAAGTCACAGGACATGATGGCAGACTTACTGACGAAAGCGCGTTCCGCGCCAAGAATGGAAGAGCTGTAAACGATGTTCAAGCTGAAGGCCGCACAGGATGACATCGAGGAGGATTGTTAGTGACTATCATGTTTGCAGTTCCAAGGGTCAAGTGTTATACCGTGTGGAGCAAATCTCATTATCAGGACCACAAATGTCCAAAAGTCCCAAAAGCAGGACTATAGTTTAAACAAGTCTAAAATTGATAGATGCTTAATGTTAGCCACATTATACTCAACTGTAACATGGGATAAGAAATTTCCTGATCACTAATGAGTCTATCCATTTTTTTGACAACTGTCGCGAGTGGTCAAAAAGCGCACTTTTTTACCAACGGTTCGTTTACTTCTCAATTTGAGCCCACGAGCCGATGTGCCCATTTAGGTTTGGGCACATTGCGTGCGAGCCATGGCCCGGTCGCACGCACCCGACAAGCTCGTACTGGTGACAGTACAAGCTACTTATTCTGATGACAGAATAAGGCGGTGCCTCGTAACTTCACGTACACTCGTACGTGCAGAGGAAGACGGTAAGAAGAAGCGAGTACTTGGTTAAAGTAAAAAGTAGAACTGTATTTAGTATAGTTAATGTCTGCAATAAATCACTATTTATCTTCATCTAACTATGTCTAAATACAAATGTGTATATCAATTATCTGCTCACCACTCATTGCGTGCGTCTGTCGTGGCGCGTCTTCGTTGGTTGATATAATGGCCTATATCAACCAATTAGGAACTATTCGTAAGTGCTACAGAATATTTGTCCTTATGACAATATTCTGAGAATATAACTCTTATAGTTATATTCTATTAACAATTTCTTATAAATTGTTATGTAACGATTCACCCCGTTACATCACCCCCCCTTAACCATCAGTCACTTTAGTGACTGATTGACTAAATGGATACTCGTCCCAAATCATTTGGGACAGGGTTTGCACTTGTTGGTCCGCGTCCACCTTCCAACATCTCATCGCATGGTAAACAAGCCCATGCGATGCGCGAACAAGGCCGCCGAGAGCGCGTCTGCACGTCTCTGTGCGGACGCCGAAGCAGAAACCACAGCAACTGATGTCTCATCGGTTGCTGAAGCGACCCAGCCTGTGTCACTTGGTGATGCAGGCGCTGGTCATGAAGACACTCGTGTCTTCACAGAGTACGAGCTCGGTGTCTCGTACTCTCCTGATATGGATGACGGATCCGTATCGACAGCGATTGAATCCAAGCCGCCTGCCAAGCGTGGCATGGACGATGCTTTGCGTCGCAGCATCTTTGGTTCATCTGATTCATCAGATGAACCATCGCCGAAGCGAAGGCGCTCGAGGTCGCGAGACTCGGGCGCTAATAGTGGTGTCGGTTCTCCTAGGGACACCACTTCACAGCGAGGTGCCAGTACTTCTGTCGGCACGTCGCAGGAAGAGCGGGACCGCAATGTCTTGCGTCTCGCTCCAGAAAAGAAGGCATGGATGCCTCCAAAATCCGTCATGGATCACTTGTCGGCGACGACGAGTGATCGTTATCGAACACGATTGTTCGATTCGTCAAGGATCCATCACCTTGACCCCAGCGCGAAAAACTATCGCGCTGAACATGAATTCTTCATCGATGCTTTCTTTAGACATCGATGGTACAGTGGGAATCACAAACGTGATGGTCCCTCACTACTGCAAGCGTGGAACGCCTACATCCATAACCTTGAGGATGTAGGTCGTGAAGCTTGGAACGACAAACTTATCAAATCTCGTGATAAGTTTGAAAAGCGAGCCCCGACAGGTGCACGCTACAAGCTGCATCGTCTGTCAAGGGAGAAGGGATTACCCTGCCTCTCTTGGGGAGAATCATGCCCATGTTGTGTGAACACCTCTGCACGAGCACCTAAGGAGGCCCTAATAGCCCGTGGTGGCGCGTACGTATCTCTAGTGAGATGTACGAAGGGATTGACAACTTGAAATCCCTTTACGACCGTGCCGGGAAGACTTTCTCCGGCGGTCCTTCTGCGGCACAGGATGTGCCGCGTCGTACTGCTCAACCAGACCCAGTACGTCAACCATCAGTTGGGAGCGGGGCTCCCAAGAATCCCAGGACGGGGGATAGCCGCGCCACCGGACGAGATAACTCGTCCGACGTCCGTTCACGTTGCGTTGGTTCAACAGCTGCTCAACTAGATAGCGCTGGCCACCGCGAGAGTCCTCTAATGGAGGTGGAGGAGGAGGAAAGACGCTCTCCACACGATCATGTGGATCGGTGTGTTCCCGAGAGCTTCTTTGATCGCGTACGCAAGGGTTACGCGGCGACCTCGAGCATGAGCGGGACAGGCGTCTCCTACTGGCGGACACTGTTTTGAAGCATCGAGCTGAGTTTGCTTTAGCTCAGCTTGATAACGAGAGAGCTTTGACATCTCTGCGTGACGAGCTAAGGGTAGCTCGTGGGATTGCTGATCGGTCTCGGGATGAGATAGCTGCTCTTCAGACCCTTGTTGATGCCCACCATCGGGAGCACAAGGCTCTCTGCGAGATGCTTGAGCGCAAGGGCGTTCTTCATCGGAAGAAGCAGCGTACTGATGGTACGGCTTAAGCCGACCAACGTAAAACGTGGGATGCGTTCGCATCTTACGTGGTAACTCGATCGTGTATACATTGCCTAGGCGGTGCAATACACGAAATGGGCCGATGTACTTGGGTAGTAGTTTACTGCTACCCAAGTTAGTCACTACATGCTTTGGTAGATTAACCGTAGACAGTAGAACTAAGTCACCTTTATTAAATAAAAGAGTGTTTGCCCTTCCATTCTTGTCAGCGTTTTGCTTTTGCTTATCCACCGCTTCGGCGATGGAGTCTTGCACAAAACGGACTACCGTTTCACGAGCCAGTATGAACTCATCTGGTGACTCGTTAGCTTCAGTGTGCTGTGAGCGCACTGCAGCAACATCAACCTTTTCTTCAGTGAGGGCTTCCGCACTCTCACTGGGATCATCTTCTTCGATATCGATATTATCGATATCGGCATCAAACGCAATGACTTCTTCGTCAGAGCGTGATGAGCGTGAACCAATTCGGTTTTTGCTCGCGCGAGTCCCTCCCCCCCTTAAACCAGAGTTAAACTCTAGTAAGGTGGGTACACGCGGATGGCGCAAGCCATTCACGTAAAACGGTGTATGTGTCGTGGACGCATGCACCGAGTTGTTGATGGCAAACTCTACCATTGGCAAAAACTCACTCCAACTCTTAAAGGAGTGTACGTATCCTCGAAGTATCTCTTCAAGGACACGATTGGCACGTTCCGTCTGACCATCTGACTCTGGATGATCAGATGTCGACATCTTCAAGCGCGTTCCGAGTGATTTGAACACGGAACGCCAGAAATCAGCAGTGAATCGTGGATCTCTGTCTGATACGAGTTCACGGGGCAACCCATGAAGTCGGAAGATGGTGTCAATAAAGACACAAGCACAGCCACTTGCCGTGATTGACTCTGGTACAGCCACAAGGTGTACCATTTTGCTGAATCTGTCAACAAATACGAGAATACCCGTATTCCCGCGTGCGTCTTTGGGTAACCCAAAGACGAAATCCATCGAGATGGATTCCCAGCACTCAGCCGGAACCGGTAGAGGCTGTAAAGGTGCACGCAGTGAAGGACTTGACTTCACTCGTTGACAGACTTCGCATGCGCGAACATACTTTCGCACAAACTGATACTGGCGGGTCCAGTAAAAGTCTCGACTTACCGTGAGATATGTTTTCTCTCGGCCACGATGTCCTCCTATAGGAGCATCGTGATACTCGAACATGATCCGCAAACGCAGATGAGTATCATCTGGAATGACAACGCGTGGTGTGTCACCAGAAACGGCTGTATAGTACAGTAAACCGTTACGAGTAGTGTATCGATCTGATGCAGATCGATACGCAGACGACAATCGTTTCAACGATTCTCGAGATGGCTGTGAGAGATGTGTCAACAACTTCACAATCTCACCATCTTGGGCGTATGCCCGCCTCACATCATCATACAACGTTGTAGATGGGACTGAGGACGTCATAACCGCAACAGTGACTGTCTCACTGTTGGGTTTCGCGACTGTTTCAAAGTCGGGACGACTTGAGAGTGCATCAGCAACGACATTAAGTCGTCCTGGTTTGTACTCGACCGTAAAGTTGTATTCCGCAAAGAATGACAACCACCGCGCCATTCGTTGTGAAAGGTGCAGGCTGTTCACTGCCGTGCGTAATGACGCATGGTCAGTGTAAACAACGAAGGGTCTATCTCCTAATAGATAGACTCTGAACTTCGCGAGTGCATACTTCATGGCAAGGAGTTCCTTGTCATGCACTGGATAGTTCCGCTCAGCTGGTTGCAGCTGACGCGACTGATAGCAGACGACGCGTTCAACGCCTTCAAGATCGTACTGCATTAATGCACAGCCGATTGCGAAATCGCTGGCATCACAGACCACATGAAATGGCCTGTCCTGATCGGCTATTGCTAGGACTGGGGATTGTATCAAGCTCTGCTTGATACCATCAAAGGAGCGCTGACATTCAGCGTTCCATAACCACCTCTCGTTCTTTTTCAACAAACGAGAGAGGTGCACAGTCATCTCGGCGTAATTGCGTGAATACTTATGCAAATACGCCGCTAGCCCAAGGAATTTTCGAAGACCTTTGACATCAACCGGCACAGGCCAGTCGGTGATCGCCTTGATCTTTTCGGGATCAGGACGTACACCGTTCTTACCAACGATGCACCCAAGAAGTGGTATTTCGCTTGCGGCAAATATACACTTCTTGAGGTTTGCATACAATTGATGCTTTCGCATGATTGTAAGAACCTGTCGGACGTGGTACCTGTGAACCTCAACGTCCGACTTTCCATCCATAGCTCGACTATGGATGAATACGTCATCGAAATAGCTCGGCGCGAATTCTCGTACTGGTCTCAACAGATGTGATACACATCTGTTGAACGTGGCAGGGGCATTACTGAGCCGTTGTGGCATTACTAGCCATTCCCAGAGCATGCCTCTAGGCGTGCTAACTGCGGTATAGGGTATATCCCGTTCCCGCATAAGGATTTGATAGAAGCCATCCATCAAATCCATGGACGAAAAGATGGTACTCTTTGACATACCATCAATGATTACGTCCTTCCTCGGTATCGGCGTCTGAGCCGGTACCGTTGCAGCGTTCAATTTGTTGAACGCGTGCACTATCCGCCACCCTCCTGTTGCTTTTCGCACACAGAAGGTCGGAGAGCTATGTGGGGAAGTTGATTCCCTCACATGGCCCGCAGCTAAACGATCGGCAAAGAACTTGTCGATCGCAAGTACTTGTTCACGAGGCAGTGGCCACTGCTTCATGACACAGTACTTCGAGCCTGGTTTAAGCTCGACCTCGTGTCGAATACCCCTATCCTTCGGTAATTCGCACGGAAAAGTTTCAGGGAATACATCCTTGAATTCAACCAAATCTTCATAGAGAGGATTTTTCTTGAGCGATTCCCACGATTGGGAGTCATATCGCTCAATTCGTGTCTTTTCATCTAGGACACTCTCGTCCATAGATGAACTACTGAGAACTCTCTCGTTCTCAGTAAACACTGTTGCTGACCTTATGTCGGTTACACACTCGTCGTCAGCGACGAGCATGCAGATCTGCTTGACTTTGCCACTACGCAGATCACGCAAGAACCTTTTATGTTCGAGCGTTGGCAACTGAGTGATCTCCGAAGTTAACTTCGGAGGCGCAATCAGATCAAGTGTATAAGCGCCTACACTTGATCCGTTATTGACTATGACATTCAATGTCTCTGTCATTTCCTGGGGACTTATTCCCTCAGGCTTCGAAGGACTTATTCCTTCGGCTTCCCGGGGACTTATTCCCGCGGGTTTCGGGGAACTTATTTCCGCCGTATTTGTAATCTTGGGACTTATTCCCTTTACTTCCTCTAGCTGGGGTTGCGCAACCACAGAGAGATCCTCTACGAAAGACTCTCCAGTCGATCTAGGATTATCGTTTCGCTTAACCTGAGCGATCGATTGTTTCTCTTCTAGATGTTCCCCGCTAGGGATACATCTTTGTCCCAGTCCACCCGACTTATTCGAGTGGTGGACCTTCGGCGCAGCCTGTGTTTCCTCACAGCCGCCGGAACTTTGCTCCGAAGTGTAACCGTTTGGTACACTAAGGTTTTGTGCAGTCGTACTAACGACCGTACCACAAGTGAGACCATCGCACTCACTCGTAGTACATCCACACGCTTGTGGACGCTCCAAAACGTTCGTCAGATGGCCATCTGATGAACAAGCGGCAGGCATCGTTACTGTCTGATGTTGCCAATTTACTCGTGGTTCGTACCTTCTGAGCCACGGTATTCCAAGGATGACATCAAATTTGTCATCCAAATCCAATACGATAAAGTCATCGTCATATTGGGTATCTTCTAGCGTATAGTAGATCTTCACTATACGATCCATGACGGTTACGGATGCGCCTGTCGCAAGACGTACCGTCATCCTCGTAGGAGGTGTGTCACATTCACTGAACTTAAAGTGACCATCTTCTAGCGATTGGCGTCGCACAAAATTGTTGGACGCCCCACAATCGACTAGAGCTCGAAGGGACAACTTATTCGTCACTTCGAGTTTCAAGGTAATGAGTGAGACCTCATTACCTAGAGCAGCAACGCACAACGTTTGTGTGTTGGGAGCAACCTTCATCAAGAGGCCTACAAATTCTCTTGACGTTGCTGGATCAGTAGGGAGCTCCGCACCTACTGATCCTGTCCGTTTTTTTACGGTCCATCCCGTTGTTGCGTCTTTGCACCAACTGCGGACCCTCGTCCCTGCCCCTTTCTCATGGGTGGACGGTCACTACGCCCAGTGTTGCGAGACACTGGACGAGGGGCACTACACTCGTAAGCGTATTGTCCTGTCTTTTGACATCTGTTGCATCTCTGCAACTTCTTGTAGCCTGTAGAGCGAGCCTTCTCGCTCTCTACATTACAGAGTTCCTTCGGCTCTGGACCTCCGTTGTCATATCGTCTCGGTTGACGAAATGATGTCGAGCTGGCGCGAGCCTGTCTCAGACTGAAGTCTTCCTGCTCCGCAATGGAAATGGCTTGTTCTAGTGAATCTAGTACAAGCCGGAACAGGTGAGTCTTGACGGGACCATCCGCAAGACCCTGCATGAACACCGAAACCAACGTGTGTTCATCCACCGGATTGGAACTTATACAACTCGTGAGATGTCGTATATGTTGGGCGTAAGCGTGCACATCACGCTTACCCTGATTGAGCTTCAAGAGTTCGGTTCGAGCCCTGAACTCAGCTCTAGGCGGTTCAAACGTTTGTCTGAGCCGCGACTTGAAGACTTCCAACGACCCAAACGCATATGGGTCGTGCAACTTGAGCCCCAGTGCCCAATTCTTGGCACGTCCTGCCAGATTTGACTGGGCAAATGTAACTTGCATTTCCCCGTCGTCGATGTGACGCGCCCTTATGGCGTCATCCAATTCGACGAACCATCTCAAGAGGGAGTCTTCTTCGACTCCCCTATACTTGGAGATGTCAATCTTCA